ATATAGAAGAGAAGGATTTGAAGAAGATTAATTGACAGGCTTGCGGCACCATCAGGCTTTGTGTCGCTAAAGATCAGAAATATTATGTGATGAAAGAAACTTCGGCTAAAGAGTTATGAAAGAAATTAGAGAACAAGTATATGACCAAGAGAATTGAAAACCGGTTCTATTTGAAGAAAAGACTCTTCCGTTTTGGGTATAAACCAAGTATCACTGAGCATTTGAACAGTTATAATAAAATTTTCGCTGATTTGCTAAACATTGAATTAAAAATAGATGATGAGGACAAGACATTATGTTTGATAAATTCCTTACCTGATAGTTATGATCATCTATCTATTACTTTAATTTATAGAAAATATGAACTTAAATTTTAAGATGTATAAAATGCTTTGATGAATAATGAGTATCAAAAGAATGACCAACAATCCAATAGAGACTCAACATCAGAAGCTTTGACTATAAGGGGTAGATCAGATGATAGAAAATCTGGTTGGTGGGGTAAATCTCGTTCGAAGTCAAGAGCACCATCATCTGAAAGAAAAATTCAAGCAAAGGATGAGTGTGCCTTTTATCATAATAAAGGGCACTAGAAAAAGGATTGTCCAAAATTGAAAAACATGGAAAAGAATGGTTCAAATGCGAATATTGCACCGTTTGAAAATGATGATTCAGAATTTGCTTTGACTGTTTCACCATCAGTTGGTCATTCTGGTGAGTGGATTTTGAACTCAGGTTGTTCCTATATACCATATGTGTCTCCATATGGACTGGTTTTTGAGTTTTCAGGAGCTGGAATTGTTTTAATGGGTAATGATAACGCTTGCAAAACAAAGGGAATAAGAAAAATCCGTTTGAAGATGCATGATGGAGCAGTTAGAGTTCTAACTGATGTTCGGTATGTATCGGACTTGAAGAAAAATCTCATCTCATTAGGATCTTTTAGACTCAAAGGACTTCAAGATTATTATGGAAGGTGGAGTACTAAAAGTTGTATTTGGTGCACTTGTGATAATGAAGGGTACTCGACAATTAAAATTTTATTTTCTAGATAGGAATACAATTATAGGGAGAACAACAATATCTAATAGCCCAGATGAGATTGTGTTTGATACTTCCACACAATGACACATGCGCTTAGGGCATGCAGGAGAGAAAGCTTTACAATGATTAATTAGTGAAGCAAAGTCTGTTAAAAGGTGCCAAGACTGGTAAATTCAGATTTTGTGAGTATTGTATTATGGGCAAGCAGACTAGAGTAAAGTTTGGGACTGCAGTTTATCGTACTCAGGAGACTCTAGATTATGTTCACACAAATATATGGGAACCTACCAAAGTTGCATCTTTGGGAGGTAAACATTGGTTTTTCACTTTTATTAATGATTTCTCAAGGCGAGTTTGGGTGTACACAATGTGGAAGAAAATGATCGAGACCCAGACTGGCAAAAAATAAATAAAAGGGCTCATGTCACATAATGGTGGTGAGTACAAGTCATATCCATTTTTGCAAGTATGTTAGGATGAGGAGATAGTTAGACACTTCACAGTTAGAGATACGCCGCAATAGAATGGAGTGGTAGAACACATGAATCATAATTTACTGGAGAAGGTGCGATGTATGTTGTCCAATTCTGGATTGGGCAAGATGTTCTGGGCTGAAGTAGTGACATATGCATGTCATCTCATTAACAAGTTACCTGCAGCTCCAAATGACGGAAAAACGCCTATAGAGGTATGGTTTGGAAAACATGCTACAAATTATAATTTATTGCATATATTTGGTTGTCATGCATATTTTCATATCAAAGAAACTAAGTTGGATCCTAAAGCCAAGAAAGCTATATTTTTGGACTTTAGCACAAGTATAAAGGGATACAGGCTTTGGTGTCCCAATAAAAAGAAATTTGTTTTAAGCAGGGATGTTACCTTTGTGAGTCTGAGATGGTAAATCAAATGAAACAATAAGATTCTCAGAAGGAAAATATGAAAAATGGTACTTTGTAACAGATAGAGTTTGAGGCTCTAGTGATTCCGATGAAGACTGTTCAAATTGTCGATACTCACATAGGAGATTAGTTGGTGAGGACTCAGGTTTAGTTGAGGAAGAAGTTCATGTAACCCCACAACAACCAGATTCTATTGCCACCAGTAAACCTAAAAGAGAAGCTAGAAAACCTGCAAGGTTTACTGACTTAGTGGCTTATGCACTTCCAGTAATTGATGATGATGTTCCACTTACAGAGAAGCCTTGAAAAATTCAAAAAATTTAGAGTGGAAGAAGGAAATGGATGAGGAGATGGAATCACTTTACAAAAACTAGACTTGACAGTTAGTACAACTTCCAAAGGGAAAGAAAGCAATTGGTTGCAAGTGGGTATACACCAAGAAGGAAGGTTCTTCGGGAAAAGGATAGTGTAAGATTCAAGGCTAGACTGGTTGCTAAAGGCTATGCGCAGAAGGAATGGATAGATTACACTGAAGTTTTTTCTCCTGTCATTAAGCATTCTTCTATTTGAATTTTGCTAGTTTTGGTTGCTCAGTTTGATCTCGAGTTAACACAACTCGATGTCAAAACTGCCTTCTTACATGGTGATTTGGAGGAGGAAATATACATGTCTCAACCAGATGGGTACAAGGTTACTGGTAAAGAGGATTGAACTTGCAAACTGAAAAAGTCATTGTATGATTTGAAACGGTTTCCAAGGTAGTGGTACAAGTGATTTGATTGGTTTAAGATAGAGCAAGAGTACACAAGAAGTTAGTTTGATCATTGTGTGTATTTTGGAAGCTTCGTGATGGTTCCTTCATATATTTACTCTTATATGTAGATGACATGCTCATTGCATTTAAGAGCAAGGTGGAGATAGACAAGTTAAGACTCGGTTGAGAAATGAATTTGAAATGAAGGACCTTAGGGAAGCTAAGAAAATATTGGGTATAGAAATTAAAAGAGACAAAGTGAAGGAAAAATTTTGTTTGTTACAGACACAGTATTTGAAGAAAGTGGTATAACGGTTTAGTATGGATGACAAAACAAAATCTGTAAGTACACCTTTGGCCCTTCATTTCAAGCTTAGTGTTTTGATGTCTTCGAGCACAAGTGAGGAGCGTGAGTTTATGACTCAAATTCTGTATGTGAACACAATTGGTGCTCTGATGTATTCTATGATGTGTACTAGGTTGAACATTTCACATGCCGTCAGTATGGTGAGCAAAATATATGCATAATCCAGAAAAATGACACTGGTTGGCAGTAAAATGGATCTTAAGATACATTCAGAGTATAGTAGATGTTGGATTGATGTTTGAGTGGGATGATATGCTCAGTCAGCACATGGTTGGATATGTCATTCGGACTATGCTGGTGATTTGGATAAATGAAGGTAGGCCACTATATGATATGTCTTTACTTTTGCTAGAGGACCGGTGAGTTGGAGATCGACTTTACAATCAACAGTTGTTTTGTCTACTACTGAGGCAGAGTACATGACAGTGACAACGGCTATTAAGGAGACCATTTGGTTACATGGGCTGATTGAGGACTTGAGGATTGTTTAGGAACACATTGAGGTCTACTGTGACAGTCAGAGTGCAATTTGTTTAGCAAAGAACCAGGTTTATCATTCTCGATCAAAGCATATCAACGTTCGTTTTCATTTTGTTCAAGAAGTTGTGGATGAAGGTGACATTCTTCTTCAGAAGATTGGGACTGTAGATAACCCTGCTGATATGCTTACTAAGGTGGTGACTGAGATCAAGTTCAAACACTGTTTGGACTTGATCAATATCTCTCAGGTTTGAGCACCTTCGGGGTGCATGGTGCCTAAGAGCGCATTTGGAGGCAGCATGATTTGTTCTTTTGTTTTTGGATGGTTTGGTAGAATTCAAGCCAAGGTGGAGATTTGATGGAATTTGTCATGAATTTAACCCAGATTCATGATGACCCGTGTCGTGGGGGTTTGGGGGCAAAGCGTCGGCCGAAATTTTGACCCGATTTAAGGCCCGATAGTTTTAGGTATTTTACCCAAATTATCTTTATGTTGTAACCCTAATGATATAAGATATTTTTTAGGATTTATTTTGGTAGAGGGAGAGCCATTTTTTCGTGTGACTTGAGAAAAGGGTAATCTGAGAGAGCATTGTAAAATATTCTGTTGAATATAGTGATCGATCACCGCTGCCTGTGGATGTAGGCATATTGTCGAACCACGTAAATCGTGTCTCTCTGTTGGTTTGTTTTTCTTTTCCGTTTGATTATTTGTTTACTGTTTTAGATTTGTTTAACTGTTATTTGCACGCTTTCGCATAACAGTAGAGACCCTACCAGCCAAGTTAGAAGAAAAAAGAAAGAAGTGAACGAAATTAGAGGAGAACACAATTAGGTGCTGTTTGGCATCGTTTCTCGGGAACAGAAACAGTCTAAACGCGTTTGGTAAGTCATTTTTAGGAAACGATTTTAAGAATCATCCTGCTTTAGACACAATTTTTAGGGAACAAAAAAAGTTTCTTTTCAGAATCAATTCTGAAAAACACACTTAAAACGAACGCGATAAGCATCAAAATTGACGAGATAGATGAGACATAATAAAAAAATTGGTATTTTATGATACTTATATATGCGTTGATGATATAACCATCTTTAATGCCTAAAATAATTGTATTTATTTTTCCTTTTTTCATCGAAACGTAATTATGTTATTTCTTTTCTTCATAATTGATTTTGACTGACAGTTACCAAATACATTCATAGTACAAAATTGATTATAAGAATCAAAAAGTCTAAGAATTAATTCTTTTTCACAATAAGAGAATCACCAGAATTGAAGCCAAATGACCCCTTAGCTGGTATGAATAACATCATCCAATTGGACTGATTTTTGGTTTAGATAAGTCTCATTCAAATGCAGATTGATAGAAAAATGTATTCTATTTGTAAAAATCTGTACTATTGTCAGTATTGGTACTAGGACTATCCAATGCAACCTACTTGGGGTTGGTGCAGTTGGTTGGTGCAGTTGGCTAGCATTCCAGGTTTGCTCCCTGTGGTTGAGTGTTCAAATCCCACTCCTCAACTTACCTTGGTGTCTGGAGGGAAAATTTCGAGTGGATTAATGGTGTGGACACCTGAAGGGACTAGTCCTTGCCTTGAAGAATTTGCCCCCAAACAAAAACAAATTCCAATGAATATCAGTTAATAAGGATATAATGACCTACCTCTCTCAAAAAATATATATATATATATATATGAGGTGTTGTTGTCTTGACCAAAAATACAAAAACATAATGTGAAAAATCTTCTAAGCTAGTTTCTTAGGAAAAAACTATTCTATTTCCAACCTTTAATTGGGCAATGGGCAGTATTAGCATTCATGGAACTCGTAAGAGTCATCATGTTAACCCAAGTAAAAAAGTTCAGTTGTACAATTTGAGTCAAGTTAGTAACATGTATCGTTTAATTCTTGTTTTTATTAACAAGTCAATATATATATATATTTATATATATAATAATAACTTGTTAATATATATATATGTAACATGTATCTATCCTTGGTATTTAAAAAATAATGATTAATGTGTCCCCTTCTGTAAGGGTTAGTAAATCCTAACCACAGTTAAAAGGAGTTAAAAGATAGGTTATTTTTTTCCTAATAAAGGTTAGATGCTTTAACCCTAAGGGTTAGTTGATCTTAACCACAATTAAAGGGGGTTGAAAAGGGACATTCAATTTTGTTTTTTTTTTCTTTCTAAAAACCAAAGTTAGATGTTTTAACCCTAAGGGTCTAGTGTATCTTAACCACATTTAGAGGTAGTAAAAGTGACATGTTAATTTTTTCCTTTTTAAAATAAAAATAAAAATCAAGATTAGATGCTTTAACCTTAAGGGTTAATAAATCTTAACCATAGTTAAAGGGTTTTCAAAGGAGACATGTTAACTTTTTCTTTTAAAACCAAGGTTAGATGCTTTAACTCTAAAGGTTAGTGTATCTTAACCTAAGTTAAATGAAGTTAAAAGGTGGTAGTAGTGGGTGATGTTGGATTCTATGTGAGATAGGGTGTGATTGGAGAGAGAGAGGAATTGGTGAGTGGTGGGATGTAGGTGATTGAGATGAGAGGGTGAGAAAGATATAGATTGACATTGATAAACGTGGGTGTATACATATATCATAATAGATACACCCCCACAGGAAAAGGGGAATAATAGGAAGAGAGTGGAAATGGGGGTGGTGGTGAGATGAGATGCGAGATATAAGAGAAGGTGAGGTGGGAATGAGTACACCCTACTCTAATGATTTTTTTAAAAATTACTGCTCCCTTTGTTTTCAGGTAAAATAGGGGAAAACAATTTTTTTAATTAATGCTCCCTTTGTTTTCAGGTAAAATAGGGGAAAACAAATGAATTCCACCAAAAATGTCATTTTTCAAGTATACTTTCTTTAAGACAATTGACATTTTTTGTGAAATTCATTTATTTTCTCCTATTTTACTTTTAAAACAAATGGAGCATAAGAGGTAAACACATACTAGGCCGAGACACACAACCCCTATGATTCAGTACAGAGTATATGAATCAAAATTGATACACCCCCGGATGCACCCTATAATTGAATTTCATGTAGAGAGTGCAATGAAGGCTTGATACACCTTATCAATTTAAAGTAGGTAATTCGGGTACACCCAATTGATTAGGGTGTGGAGAAGTTAAGTTGGGTTACACTCACGTGCATCGCAGGTGTCTTCCTTATAATATAAAAAGAGTCAAATCCTCTACGCGGATTTGGCAAATCCGGTTATCACTTCTAAAGGTCACCACGTCTCCTATGACACCCCTTACCGGTGGGTAAGATTCACCCACCCCAAGGTTTACCCACCCATTCAAGTTTTTTTTTTTTTAAATATATTTTTTTTTAAAATTAAAAAACTGTTTTTAGAGTTTTTTTAATATTAAAACAATTTTTTAATTTTTTTTAAAAATTAATATTTTTTTAAAAAAATCAAGGATGGGTGGGTGAACCTTAGGGGTGGGTGAACCTTACCCATGGTTAAGGGGTGTCAAAAGAGACACGTGGCGACCTCTAGGGTTGATAACCGGATTTGCCAAATCCGGTTATCACCGTAGATGATTTGGCTCCAATATAAAACGATAAAGCTTCCTCCTTCAAACCTAAACCCTAAAATCTATCATATTTTCTCAATTTCTCTCTTTTGTCGTTCGTTCCTTTTGGTCGAAGATGGCGAACGCTGCTAACGGACCACGGTGACCCCTTTCTCCTAGTGCTCGCCGTCGCCGTCGCCGTCGCCGTCGCCGATCCACTGTAGCCTCACTTCCACCGTTTTGCGCTTATTTCTAAGGTTGCCGATTTGTCCTCCTAGGTAAAACCTAGATGTAATTTTAATTTTTTTTTCATTTTATTTTGAGATTCATCTAGTACAGTATTCTAATGGATTTGCATCCACACGAAAGAAATGTAAAAATCTTTCAATTTTATTTTGAGTTCACCGCCTGCTCTTGTCGTCGTCTCTACTGTCACCGGGATTCAACCCTTCCTGGAGAGTTCTGAGCAGTATTTTGGGTTACAACGAGTGTTCTCTAGGTGGGTTTTGGTTTTCTTTTTGAAAGCTTTAAAGATTAAAAAAAAAAAAAAAAGAAATATCGAAAGATATGATTATTTGAATTCACTTCTGTGAGATCTGATGGGGTGTAGCCATTTTTATTAGCATTTATATTTTGTTGGAGTAGGACGCAAGTTAAAATAATCTTCTTCTTCAGTTCGTGTAGAAATCCTTATTTTGCTTAACATTTGTTTCTCTTTTGGGGTTTTTAAGAATGTCAGAAGATTTATTGTGGGTAAGATAAGCTAACTGGGATTTTCCTTGGAATTTCTCAATGACCCAAGCAATCTCATCGTTCCACTGCTTTATCCTTTGCCTCTTCATCAAAGTCTATCTTCATACCAGTTGTTTTGAAAGTATCGTGATCTGGTTTTTGGGGTGGTTCCATTCTCACGTTGTGGAATTATTAGGAGGGTTTGATTTCTTCTAGTCTGTTTACTTGTAATATATGACTAATGAAGAACATTTGCTTTTTGTCTAGAATGTCCAGAGGATGTTCTTAGGTTTTCAAATTTGTTAGTTTGATTCGAGCGATTTTGTTGTCAAGTGCGTACTTAGGATAGAGATATCAAAGTTTGGTCTAGAGGCAACAATGGATGATTCTCAGTTCGATCACTTTTACAATCTCAGTCCCTTCATGTTATTTTCCTCATGGTTGGTTTGGAATCCCTATATTCCATCGAAGGTATCGTTTTTCTTATGGAATGCATCGTTGAATAAGATTCTGACTTTTGATCATTTGAAAAGTAGAGGAAAGAAGATGACTAATTGTTGTTTTATGTGACTACGTGCCAAAGAATTGGTGGACCATATGCTTTTGCGTTGTCTTATCGCGAATGATGTGTGAGGGGTTTTTCCTCTCCCGAGTAGGCGTGGAGTGGGTCTTTCCATTTTCCTTTCAAAACTTCTTATCTTGCTAGGTTTTGGTAAGCGAGGATGGGGCGTGGAAGGCAATTTAGTTGGTCCTTCCTGACATAGTTACCAAGTCGGGGTTCGGGAATAATTCGTCTAGGAAAGTGTTGGCAAAAATCGCAAAAAATTGAAAATTTGAAAATAAATTGGGTAAGAAATGAAAAAAATATAAAATAAGATTACTAATTATGAAATGTATAAACAAATATTTTTATATATTAGATATTTATTTGGGACTTTTTTTAAAAATTGCAAATAATTCGTGTTTAATTCGCCAAGTCGCTATTTTTTCAAAACACGCGAATACTTCATGAATTAATTATTCAACTAAAAATTTGGGTATTATTCGGGATTTTTTGAAAAAATTGGAGAACTTGGTTAATTATGCTTCCATGTGCTATAGCATAGCCTTTGTGGAAAGAGAGGACAAGATAGTTTTTGAGCACTCTCCTTCGTCCTATCTCAGTAAATGTTCATGTATCTGTTTGCTCGTTCTGGAATGATGTTCCATTAGGCGAGATGGGGACGGTGAGGGGGAGGTCTTGGGTTGAACGCACACTCTACAGTCTACACCACCCATAAACCGTCAAAAGTTACTTATCATGAGTGCAAACCAAACTCAAAATTTGAGAAAAATTAACTTCTTGCATGTTTAAACCAAACGACATTTTTTCCCTCTGAATGACTTCTGCAGACTTCTTCATTCGAAGAAGCAACTCTTGAAGAAGTCTTTCTTTTGAGGGAAGTTTATTCAAATGTGGATCCTCAGTTGAGTATGAGTGCATTAGCTGAGCTTTTTCTAGTTTAGGGATGACCATTGAAATCAAGATGACCATGCTAATAAGAGATATTAATTAAATCCTTACTTCAATTTTTTTAATTAATATTCACTTGGAATGTGAATGGATGGTAGATCATGATGATCTTATTTGGGCCAAATTGAGCAAAAGTACTAGGCTACTAGCTAGGGTTGCCAATGTAGTTCTTTTTGTAGTGCATTTTTAAAATTTTTTTTTCTTGTAATCTGACAATCAAATAATATTTGAATTCAATAATTGATTATTATCCGAATTGAATAATGTAATTGGTTGAATTCGGATAATATCAGAATTTTGAATATTTTAATCGAATTTGAGTACGAATATTGTATTTAGGTATTCGTTGGATATCAAACTGAATTTGGATAGTGTAATCAAGTCTATTTCAGATATATCACTGTGTGCTTCGAATATGCCCCATTTACAGCCCTATACACAAGCATGATGGTTGTTCTCATGAAATCTGAAGAAAAAGCGAAGGAGATGGAAGGTGGAGAGGAGGGGCCAATTTTCAGAGATATCAGGCGTTATTACTGTGATTACTGTGGCATCTGCAGGTCGAAGAAATCCCTGATTACATCTCACATCCTCTCCCACCATAAGGTTCGATTTTGATCTATCCTGTTCCTTGCTTTTGAAGATTAAGGTTTATAATTGTTTATTTCTCTCCACAGGGGATAATTGATTATGCTTTTATGTAGTTATAGACCACAGATTGTTATTTGAGTTGGAAC